ATTGCAGTGCAGGCCAAAATGGCTCGCAGATGGGATATTTTTTTCCGTCTTATGTGACACTTATTGTTATATATTGCCCAATTCACTCGATAACTACATAAATTATTATATATATGTAATTATCATATATGAGCTATATTACTGTTAAGTTTCATCCAAATCCATTCAGTATTTTTCAAGGTGAAAGAGTTACAAAGATCCATACAAAGGTAAGATTGAAATTAAAAGCGTAAGTGGTTAATATACAACTTTAAAGCGTTGTAGATCCTAAACAATCATATAAAATAAAAAATGGTGTTAGGAACCTAAATATGATTTTTGATTATCTAGACAGTGATACCCCACTCGACATATTTTATCAACTTATTTTTTTTACTTCGTCACAATATGGCGTCTAATTTTCCCCATATTGAATTTTGATTACTATCATATCTTTAGTAGCACTCCCATGATTGAGACGAATCGATTGATGTATAAATCATTAAAATCGGTCCAGGCGTTTGGTCTCTAGTGTGCCACAAAGGAACAAACATACATATATAGACTGTTAAACACATAACCCTGTCTGCGCGTCGCGCTTCGCGCTCTTGCATTGCGCAGCCGGGTAAAAATAATGGACACGTATTTTTTCTTTGGACAATCAACCAAAAAACGACAAAGTTATAGCGCGTCAAAGTTTGGGAGTAGGGGCTCGTGACGTCACGTTTGAGTACACTTATTAGTGAAAATTCACTCAAAAGTGACGTCACGAGGCCCTACTCCCAAACTTTGACGCGCTATAACTCTGTCATTTTTTGGTTGATTGGCCAAAGAAAGACGTGTCCATTATTTTTTGATAATCTACCTGATAAACGAAGATTAAAAAAATTAGTCATCATCCCTATTTTATGTTTAATGCGGAAGAATTTATTCAGAAATCTTAAAATACTACGTTTGTTAATGCGCTCGCTCGCAGTATTTAGAACAACCAACGTGTCAGATTCGTTTAAAAATTCATCCACTGTCCTCATTGCGGGCGGCCTTAGAATTAGCCGAGATTTCACGCATAGCGTCTGTTACAATCCGAGGACTGCGGGCCACAGCCTAACTCTGTATCTCAGAATCTCCCAATTTCCGAAACCATCGCTGTGTATATCCTCTGCAGATCGACAGGGTTGCCAATGAGGAACCATTTATTAATTAAAAAGAAAATAGGGTATTTGACAGTATTAAAAATAAAGTGCCAATTGTTAGCATCTGTATTTAGAATGAACTAGCAAACCAGTGAACCAAATGTTAACCAAAACCTGATTAAAAAAAAAATGTATTTAATTAATTGAGAACTTCGGAGATTTTGTGTGATTTCGTTTGAAATTCGTGATTTCTCGAAAACCGGAAGTGCTACGTTACTCAAATCCGGTTAGGATCCGGAGTTAAGTTAGCTTCCATTTTTAACGTAGTCTCTACTTCAGACCCAAATATGTTTTAGCACTCAAAGACGTCTTCCTGTAATCCTGACTTTCACAAGAGCTTGTAACAGCCTAGACTGAATAAATGAATTTGAGTTTGAATAAGTTGGCGCTGCCGCTATATAATGCCTCGCCCGTGCTGTCGTCTGCATAGCAATGAACACCACCAATTTGAAACATCAATAAATAAATAATAAATATTTCCAACACTCACACCAATTAGCCTAGCCCCAAAGTAAGCACTGTAGGCTTGTGTTATGGGATACTAGGGCAACGGATAGAAGACATATACTGATACATACATAAGTATATTTATATAGAAATACATATTAAACATCCATGACTGGAGTACAAATGCTCGTATTCATCACATAAACATCTACCTCCACCGGGATTCGAACCCAGGACCTCTCGAGTCGGAGACACTTTGAAACTCGGCGTACAAACAACTCGGCCATGGAGGTCGTCACATTATCATTAATATGAAGGTGAAACAGCGTAGGCGATGGCACACAGCCTTGTGGAACACCAGTATTCACGCATTTGGAGTCCGAGCATGCGCCGTCGACTACGACTATGATGCTCTTATCCTTAACAAATCTGGTGAAGCCTATACCTAAGCTACCTTTCTCCTAGGACCTTTTTTTTTATAACGCAGGTAAAAAATCTTTTTACAGACGACGGCGCCTTTAAGAGGCACACCGCCGAACGGACCTCATACCTGACTCCCGCAAGTCTTACGGACCCCTCAGTGGCTGACCACCGAGGACCCCGCTTTTCTTACGGGCCCTTTGCGGCATAATATCCGCTAAAAAAGTCCTGCGAATACCTTCTACACTGCTTTATGCGAAGCCGCGGGGTCCCCGTTTAGGGATTCTTCCGCGAACCTTTCTCCTAGGACCTGGTATGTCATCATCCAAATAAACCCCGGCTGCAAAAATGTTTAGTACCAAAATTGTAATTAGTATTGAATATCATAATTAGCCTATTCATGTCGTCGCTGCCAAACGATGTAAGAATAACGGACTCACCCTCACATGTGTAGATTAGTATGTGTTGATGACTTCAGACGCAGCTGGGACCAATAATTTTTTGGGTTTTCATTTCTACTGAACTACACTATGAGCTCGAAATAGTAACTTTTATGTCACCCGTTCAATGGCCGGCCACTGCAAATGCAGAACAGTTGCTTAGCAATTATAATTGCAAACCCATCGTTTAATTACTGCGCCATTTAATTCCTCAATAACAGCTACTAAATAATTAATTTACAGCTCCTTCTTATACCTAGTGCAGTGAAATGCAATCTATATATATAAAACTCAAAGGAGACTGACTGACATAGTGATCTATCAACGCACAGCTCAAACCACTGGACGGATCGGGCTGAAAGGAGACCCGGCACTTTTCATAGAAAAAATGCTAAACTTGTATACAGTTGAATTTGGTCTCAAAATAAAGCCAAAATTATTTGCTACATATAACTACTTTTGCCTTATTTTTAGTGAATCGTGGAAAGAAGTTATATCATGATTAATATTTTTTGATAAAGAAACCCTAAATCTTCAAGGGACAGAATTTTACTTCAAAATATTACTCAAGTGACTGTAAAAACCATGATTCCTTTGCTTTTCCTAAATAAAATGCTTTCCCAAATGTCAATTTGACAATCCTAAAATACAAACAAAAAAATCATTCGCATTTCGCATCCGCTCCCGCGAACTGTGATTGTGAATGTTCTCTGCTGTGATTGCCTTTTTATCCGTTATTTCTCTTGACGACCCGGCTACATATAGAGGTTATATTGACAAACCTACGTATTTGACATTGACAGCTAGCTGCTGATGACAAATATTGCCAGTAGTCTGGCAATTATAAAACACAGATAAAAATTACCCAATTATAAAACACAGATAAAAAAATTAAAAAAGTATACAATTTGGCACAAAATGCCGGGTGTCCTTTGTCATGCAGGTAGATGTTATGACGTAGGCATCCGCTAAGAAAGGATTTTGATCAATTCTACCCCCAAGGGGATAAAAAAGGAAATGAAAGTTTGTATCAAACTTTGTCAATTTTAAACCGATCGGGCTGAGACTTTGCATGCAGGTATAAGAAGAATCATAGATGAATGTCGTTGTGCATAATACAAGCCTGAGAACAAAAACTGTAGTCTACACTTCAGCTCTACACCGAAGCGAAGCGAGGGCGGGTCGCTAGTTATATATGCACTTCAGTCGGTGGTAGCCCTTTGTGTCCGCGGGCCATGTTCTGTTGAACTCTCTTGCGCAGAACATAAGACTCAAATTAAAATGTTACGGTCGCTGATCAGATTTCGGCTGCAGATGTAATTATCAATTACGTCTGTGATCGTTATCTGACATTTCGTTTAATCAGTGGTGCAGTTGGCGCGCTCGGTTTCGCGCGATCGTGAAAGTTAAGCAACTATCGCAATGTCCGGTTAATGTCCGGATTGGTCAATACAATTTTCAATCTACTGTATATACATAAATGTGTATAGTCGCTAAGTTACTCACCAACTGTAATGAACATAAGTTCATCGGGAACAGCTGCGCACTCATCCCGCACACACACACACGCACACACACACGCACGCACGCACGCACGCACGCACGCACACACGCATGCACGCACGCACGCACGCACTCACACACACACACACACACACACAACTTAATCAGATAAAGATAATAGAGAGAGATAGAAAGAAACGACCACCTATATGGCTACTTTATGGTCAGTCGTGATCGTGGTCGTATACTTGGCCGTAGCTCAATCCTAGCTTCTGCAGTCACGGCTATAAGTCGCGGCACGAAGTTCTAACGCCGACCGTTATTGCGCAGAAGTAAAAATTAAGATGTGTTGGGGGGAAACGAGGTGCGCGGGTGGGCGTGCGTTGCGCCGATTGGCTCTCCAGTCGTACCCATGCGCAGCTATCCCCCCAGCGTTTTGTTTAGCGCTAGAGTTAGCTGCGACCTGTATAATGCGATTCAAATAAGAATAGGAAAGCCAATGACCTCCATCTGTCAAATGACGCTTGAAAAGTACGGTTTGCAAAAAATCTTGGAACTCTTTTTTAGCTCTCGGCTAATTCTAGAATAAAAAAAAAACAAACTTTTGTAAACAAACATGAACGACGATGACAACTCCGGTAGTTATGCAGAGCTGAGCGGAATTGAAGAGCTAGATTCCGATTAATATTTTTACTCACACAGTCATGAATGTTATTAAAAATCGGTGTTTTCTTTTCTCAATCTTAGTAAATAAATCGTATTAATAAAATCTGATGTTTTTTCTCACTTAAAATTAGTAAATAAGTTTTATTTAAAAAAAACCTGATGGTTTTTTCTCACTTAATCTTAGTAAATAAGTTTTATAGAAGAAAAACTTTTATTGCTCACTCTACCTATTTTGTTTCGATTGACAGCTTTGACATCACAAAATGGCGCCCAGTCGATCCATTCTTAGTTGAATCGCATTGTACGACTGGCCGTGATCACGTGACGGCGTTGGTAGTAGCAAAACACGTACCAAAGTGTAGGCGTCTCTTCATCGCAGTCACTGTTTGGCCTCATGCAGAAGCTGAGCGGTGCGCCGGCTACCTCCAGCCACACGTCCACAACCAGCGGCTCCAACTTCTCCATCTGTTGACAACATTCATCGTCAGTTCTTTCGGTAAACCCTCCAGCCTAACTTTTGAAAGGGTTAGGCACAAAGGTTCACCTAAAAAGTTGGGCACAGACCCAGTCGTTCCTACAGTAGCTTGGTGGCGCAGGTGGTTAGCGCGTTCGACCGGCAATCAATACAACACAATACAATACAATACAATACAATACAATACAATACAATACAATACAATACAATACAATACAATACAATACAATACAATACAATACAATACAATACAATACAATACAATACAATACAATACAATACAATACAATACAATACAATACAATACAATACAATACAATACAATACAATACAATACAATACAATACAATACAATACAATACAATACAATACAATACAATACAATACAATACAATACAATACAATACAATACAATACAATACAATACAATACAATACAATACAATACAATACAATACAATACAATACAATACAATACAATACAATACAATACAATACAATGCAATACAATGCAATACAATACAATACAATACAAATTAAGCACAAAAACATTTAGTACAAGTGATGCAATAGGCGGCCTTATCGCTTAAAGCGATCTCTATCAGGCAACCTTTGGATGGAGATGGAGTTTGCATGGGCAATCGTGGAAGTTAAGCAGTTTTAGCAATGGTCGGTTATTGGATGGGTGACCAGAAACTTATTATCTCGAGCTCGGATGGCACATTAAGCCATTGGTTCCGGCTGGATCTGCAGTCTGAGCCCGCATGGTGGGTCACGGCCCAAGCTTCCTATATCATCTATAGGCAAGGCCTGTGGCCCAGCAGTGGGAACACTAATAGGCTGACGATGATGATGACGAAGTCATTAAAATTTCTTGACGTGAGTTCTCCTTTTTGCTAACAATATTTTTAAGTTTATTAAGATGGGCGGTTTTCAATGGAATTGCACATTTATCATGGTTCTCCCACTTTGGTTACAGATCATCTGAGGCAACATTTTTTTTTTTTTTTATTAACACTCATATAACAGATATTACGCATTTACACATACAAATTCAAAAAACACAGGGCTAACCAGGACTCTACCTCAGCATTAGCTGATGCGACATTGCTGTTATTCTGGCAGAGCCTGTTTAGTGACACAAAAAAAAGACATGTTAGTTAATTCTTTTTTATTACGTGAAAGGATGTATGGACTTAGCATCCTTTGCTTTCAAGTAACAAAAAATAAAAATAAATAAAAGTCAATCAAAACAGTAAAAAAAGATCAGCAAACAAAGCAGTTCAAAAATAAAAACGAAGCAATTTATTTAATTTCAGCCCCAAAAATTTATTTAAATTAAAAATTTACATGATTGATAACGCAACCGCCACCCAAAAATAGCAGTTACTCATAATAGCTAAGCATAAGATACTGTTCTTCATTTTAAACAATTCATTTTGATTTGTTGCAAACGCGGTTTAGAAACCTAATTATCGCTAATTAGGATCTTGACACAGCTCCCTTTTCGTACTTAGCAGGCAAGATTAAATAAGTCCAAACACTAATTATAAACAAATCTCTTATCTATTAGACAAGTCCGTCCGTCCGTCCGTCCGTCCGTCCGTCTGTCTGTGGTGCTGTTTCAGCGGCCAAACCGTAAGAGATAGATAAAGAGAATGTTTAGTAATAGAGATAAAGAAATCACGAATTTCAAACGAAACCACACAAAATCTCCGAAGTTCTCAATTAATTAAACACATTTTTTTTTTGGTGAACATTTGGTTCACTAGTTTGCTAGTTTGTTTTTAATCCTCATGGAAAAAATGTAAACAATTTACAAATGCATTTGTTTCTTAGGTTTTCACGCACACCACTCATTAAATAAAACAAGTTTCAACAGAATAGATGAGGAGCTCGATGGCGCAAGTGGTTAGCGCTTTCGGCTACGATCGTTGAAGTTAAGCAACTTTCGCAGTGGTCGGTCATTGGATGGGTGACCAAAAATTTACTATCTCGAGATACTCCGTGCTTCGGAAGGCACGTTAAGCCGTTGGTCCCGGCTGCATCTGCAGTCGTTAGCACCCACCAATCCGCACTGGGCCCACGTGGTGGGTCATGGCCCAATCTCCCTATTCCATCCACAGGGAAAGCCTGTGCCCCAGCAGTGGGGACATTAATAGGCTGATGATGATGAGATGCAAGATTTATTTATTTATTGACGTTCCGAATCCTTTTCAGGATGCGCCGTCTGAATTATGATTTTTATTTAATAAATTCATAAATAGACAATCAAGTTATAAAAATCTTCCAATGAAATATCCGAAACGCTAAATAAAAGTCTTTCGAAGGTAGCTCGACAAAATAAATAAGAATCATAATAGGGGTGGTGACGGGGTACAGTAAACGAAATTCTATTTAGTCCGTCAGTTAGATGATCAAAAAATAATGGACACGTATTTTTTCTTTGGGCAATCAAACAAAAATTGACAAAGTTATAGCGCGTCAAAGTTTGGGAGTAGGGGCTCGTGACGTCACTTTTGAGTGAATTTTCACTTATAAGTGTACTCAAACGTGACGTCATGCGACTTTTCAAATCAATATATCTCTGCAATGTTTATATTATATGAAAAAAGAAAAAAAACATGTAAAATACTTTTTGATAATCTACCTGATAAACGAAGAAAAAAAAATTAGTCATCATCCCTATTCAGACGACGTCAATAAATAAATAAATCAATTCATCGATACTGTTGAAACTCATTTTATTTAAATTGCAAATGCTTTAATTTTTACATACAAATAATCTTGAGCGGAAGGTTCATCAAGTTTCATCCACACTAATCTTATAATTGTGAAAGTGTATCTGTCTGTTAAATTTTCACGTTTGAACCGCTGAACGGATTTTTTTTTAAGTAAAGACTTCTTTAGCGGCTTTGTACACCAATGTATGTAAAGAATGATTAAAACTTAGTTTATAAATTATATTGTGCAATTGTATAATAATATATTTTAAATAGATTATAACCCTCTCAAGTTGCTGTGCCCTTGCAGGGCGTCACATAGTTACTGTATTTGTTATGTACCATCTTATTTTTGTGAATGTGATATGCAATGAATGAAGAAATAAATAAATAAATACACTTTTTTTTTGTATGGGTAAAAAATGTTAAACTCGCGTCAGGTTAAACACGTGGGCTGATCGCATCATGACACACAATAAAATTGGAAAGGTTGTTGACTTTCAATATATTGAACGAAACATAAAGTCTCTATCTAGGACGTCCACGTGGCAGCTTTATTGCGAAGAAAATGCATTTTTTTACAATAGATGTCGCTAAGTTGATTTTTCTGAGAGACAAACTTTTTTAATGTAATATAAATTGTCATGTTTGTGTAAGATAACGCAATAAATAAACATTGTATTCTACCACATACATGATAGTACTTTTATACTGTTAATAATTAAAGCAATTCGTGCAAAATTATTGCCTAACCTTTCCAAAATATCAAAAATGCACAACGTTAATATTCAAGTTTTCACTTCTGCCGGCACTCCCGGAGTGCAACCCGTCTTTTTTTTAGTGAAGTTTGGCATAAAGATAGTTTGAGATTTAGGAAAGGACATAGAATAGCTTTTATCCTATAAATCATCCTTTTGGGGGGTGGGAAAGGGTGTGAGACTTTGCATGGGAAACCAAATTTTCCAGGTAGACGAAAGACGTAAGACTTGACGTTCGGTGCGGTGTGCCTCTTAAAGGCGCCGTCGTCTGTAAAAAGATTTTTTACCTGCGTTATAAGAAACAAAAAAAATGGTTGCCTGTAAAGTCGGTTTTACGGGCGAAGATTTTACGTGACAACGTCTTTTTCTCGGTAGAATATTTATTGATATGAATATAATTAAATTGCACAATAGGAACAAGGAATTGAATGAAAATAAGAATTGCACAAATTTTAACTATAGAAATATATTTTGTTTACTAAAACATTGTACATGTAAACTTAAACTTAACACGAGAGACTCATCGTAACGTTACCGAGCGTTACACTTTTTCATAAGTGACTCCCAGCCGCAACCTAATTTAAGACGTTGTCACGTCAAAAAAGGTAGACAAAGTCGCGGAAAAAACTAGTAGCAATATTTTTTTTTAAATATTGCAACATTTCCAAGCAGCCAACCAATAACACATTCAGCCCGAGCAGAAAACCAAGTACATCGATCATACGTTAGTATTGGACCTATGAATTACAATTTGTACCCTTTTGCGGTTAGGTTACTTCTATGTGTATTCAGAGATTTAATCAAACCCCAACCAACATTTATTCAACATTTTAATTGGGTAAAACTCATCGTGGTACGTTAGGAAATCCATATTTTAATCTCCGTGAATATCAAGTTTTATTCGAATCCGTAATGAGACATTTCAACTGTTTGATTAACAGATAACTAGCAAACCAGTGAACCAAATGTTCACCAAAACCTGATTTCTCGAAAACCGGAAGTGTTACGTTACTCAAATCCGGTTTGTAGTCTTATCAGACTATTCTTAACTTATAACTTAAATATTCTCTTTATCTATCTCTTACGGTTTGGCCGCTGAAACAGCACCACAGACAGACGGACTTGTCTAATAGATAAGAGATATTTAAAGAGTTGAAACAGAAAAGCGTTTAAGTGCGAGACTTTAAATCGCCATGTTTTAACTTCTCCTTAAATATAAAGATCAAAATATAAAAATAGTTTCACTTTATTATAGTTAATTAGATTTTAAGCATTTAACTGCTAGACGTTTCTTCATTATCAAATGTCTATTAATGTTTCCACTGCTGCGACACAGGCCTTCCCTATGCATAAAATTTACTTGAAAAAATAAACGACGGGTTGCACTCCGGGAGTGCCGGCAGAAGTGAAAACTTGAATATTAACGTTGTGCATTTTTGATATTTTGGAATGGTTAGGAAATAATTTTGCACGAATTGCTTTAATTATCAGTATAAAAATTCTATCATGT